CAGAGGTAGTTGGTAGGGGGGGGGCGCCTCCTACTACTACTACTACTACGACGACGACGACTACTACTACTACTGCGGACAGGTCACAAGCGCTAACTCCTTCTTACAGCCAACAAGCAACGAAGATGTCCAAGAGGTTGCTCGTTCAAATGCTGTGTGCATGAATCTAACCTATGATGACACTGAAAGATGAAAGAAACGTAAAATGTGAGACGCGTTGAAGACTCCAGGGCCTGAAGGTTTTTCCTGCTTGGATTCTCACCCCTCGCATCCCTGCGGCTGCACACACGCCTGAGGAGGAAAGTGGTTCCTGTGCGGCAGACACTCCCCCCTGAAGCAAGTTTCATCGAACTTTTCGAACAGGAGACACGCTCAGCTCATGCATCGCTTACAGTACTGCCTCTGGCACACCTCGGACATTTAAGGATGGGCAGCTATGGGCAATTGCACATGCCAGCCCATTTTCGTGAAGAACACCACTGGTGCTGTTTGTCCATGGCTGTCGCTCCCCGAAAACGGCTGCTTCGAATCGATGCAGTACGGGCACTGACCTCGCACTTTTACGTCGCTTGACCACCTCAAGGCCTTGCATATGAAAATTTGTAACCAACTGAAGACATTCGCAGTTTTGGGTAACATACACAGGATCTGCAACCTCCGACTGTTTACAACCCAAAATCCACTCTGCCCCACACCCTAGACTTAGGGACTCGGTCAACAGCAATGTGCTGTCTCTCACGCGGCATGCTGACCCCAGCATTTGGGCTCGTCCTGGACAACCTTTTCCGCGGAAGGTTCTCTACAGTTCTTCTCTCCCCCTCTCGTGAGCCAGCAGCTCTGTCCTCTGCAGTCGAAGGACCAGTCTCCTGGTCAGAAGCTTCCCCCTTCTTAGGGCCTTAGGGTTCGCGCCTAAACCGCAAGGTTCTAATCTAGGGTTCGGGTGCTCGGCTGAGTTTCATCGGAACTGCTAAGCATCACTCGATCCTGCGATTCTGCAATCTCCACTGAGCGCAAAGCCTTCACTTCAGTCCTCGCAAAAAGTCCTCTGAGACATACAGCTTGATATCAGGGCCTCAGAATGCGGCTAGAAACAGACGAAAGGCAGTGAGGCCGAGAGGCATGGCTGCTTCTCAAGAACATCAACGGCTGACGAAGGTCGAGCCACGAATGTTGAGCGCTTTGCTGCAGAGGGACCCACCGATGTGGACCGAAAGGCCCGAGCTGTTCGGTGGTCGATCCTGGAGGTTCCCGGAAGCTCGCGATCATGATGTGATGTGGCGATTCAATGCGAGCCAAAGAAGGTGTTCATGACGCCTCGAGGATCATGTGTTCATGCGTCACGGTCGTGCTCAACCTTGAATTCCCCGACGAAGTTTAAAGAAGTGTATTCGTGGCCTAAGGGAGGAAGCCGAGCACAGAGGCTCGGGATGGCTACGATGCTGTGGTGGTAGACTTGAGTCGCCACCAAGGAGGGGCGAAGAAACCTCTCAGCATGCTGCTTGAGTATCGGTATATACTAGGTATATACCTTCATGCGGGAGCCAAAATGTATAGAATAGGACAGTGGAGCTGTCTTCGGAAGGTGATCGCTGTTTCGTGCGAAGCGCTGTGGCTCAAAAGCTGAAGCTCAGCTCGTGAAGCATGAGGTACAGAAGCAAAAGCTAAGCAGTACGCAGACCAGAAGCACAAGTCTGTGTTGTAAAAATTCGCGTGAGGGTCAGGCTTGATGGATCGGCGAGGCCCCAGTGAGCCTCTTGAAGCTAGTCTCCGGAGACGAAGACAACCGCTGAGCCCTCCAGAGCCCATAAACAATCCACATCACATATTCTTCCTACTACTTCTGCTACTGCTGCTGCTACTGCTACTGCTGCTGCTACTGCTTTTGCTTTTGCTATTGCTACTGCTACTACTACCGGTGCTGCTACTACGGCGACAACAACGACGACAACAGCGACGACTACGAGCACGACTTCAACGACCACAGCGACGACGACGACGACTACTCCTAGACAAGCTCGCCGCTTCGGCAGAGTCTTCGCTCTCAAGTGTGGAAGAAGACAACTCCAGGCCAGGCCAGGCTCGGCCAAACAAGGGGCGCTTTGTTCAGATCCGAAGGACTTTCACCCACATCTGAGGTTGCAGATCCTAAGCAGCACCGCTTGTGCGCGGCATGGACTTCCCAGCTGAACGCGTGGGATGCAAATCGACATTAGCCGCGAAGAGCTCCGAACCGTCCGAATTACACGCAGTACTATAGTCCTTAGTAGGAGAGAAGGGAGCTCCAAGCACTCTACTGGTAGCAACGCTGAGTCACCCAGGAGGTGTGGCTTCCGGTGTCGAGCAGGTCGGGGGCACTCGACGCTTTCTGTCCTACCGTTTGTTGAGCTGCATTCCCAGACCACTCTTGGCCGCGAGGCGCGGGCCTCGAAATATCCAAAGCTCGCCCAAACCCACTTTCGCCACGGAGGGGATCTTGCACAGGGTGATTCTTGAGTTGTTGGATAGACCAGGGGTAGTGCGACGGTGCTTACACTACCAGCTACGGCATGTCTATGCACTTGGTGTTGGTCTTCTCCTGTTTCGAACAGCTGAGCGGGTTGGAAAGAGTGTCTATGCAGAGTAGAACCGGGTGCTTTGCAGAAGTCATCTTGGAAAAGCCATGAGAGCCATGACATCGCAGAATTGGGTGCGAATCAGAGGGCCCTGGGCACCGCTGGGCCCCCTTCCCAGGTCGAGTTTCGCTTCGACATCTCCAGCAAGGGAAGCAAACCCAAGGCGCATTAAACTAATTCGCAGGGCACAGCGAATCCCAGGGCCCAGCCAGAAGCAGGTCGTTGAAAGAGGGCAGGTGTCGGCACCCCAGTTCTGACGATGTCAAACTTAGTGGCAGATCGGCTTTTTGGCTGCGAGCCTTTTGGGTCGGAGGCGCTTCGTGCTTGGTGCGGCCGACCTGAAGGACGGCTGGGCCTTGGCCTCAATGAGATGCGTAAGCGGCAAGACGCAAGAACTCGCGTTGCATCCAGAGGTGGATGGGCACGTGAACCTGGAGGAAGTCCTGTCTGCATGGGCGCCCGCCATGCTCGGCATGCGCGCGAGGGCCCAGAGGGCCAGCGGACATGGCCGTGGCCGCCGTGGCCGCCGTGAGCTCAAGCGCCAGCCGCCAAGGCGCCGGCCAGCGGCGGCGCGTGCTGGTGCCCGGCCGTCTTGGATTCCGTGATGGGGGCGAGGCGCACGCCACAGCGATGCTCTCCCCGGACGAAGCAGCCAAGTTTCAGCTGGCTCAGGTTCTAACCGCCAATGCCGACCTGTCTGTCGACATCGAGCTGAAGCAGCTGGGCTAGCTCCTGGTGCCCAAAAAATTTGGCCATGGCCTCCAGCGGCATCAAGGAAACGGAAAGTCCGAGACCTCAGTTTAGCTACAATCAGAGACACTGGCCGCGGAAGATCAAGGCTCAGCCTCCTGAAGAGGTTCCTTTAGCCTCAAGGCGGTTGCGCAAGCTACTTCAGCCATGATCACTTGAAGTCGAAATCATCCCAGAAGCGGCGTCGCGGTGCCTCTTGCCATGGCGGATGCAAAAGCCAAGGCGGCCAAGGCCCTCTGCTCTGCATGTCTCCGTGCGTTCTTCGGCGTTGTCGCACACACATGGTCAGGGGAAGGGCAAAAAAAGCGGCTATGGTGACGAGCACAAAGATGACCCTGAGAGGCAGGACTCCGATGGAACTCCTTTAGTTGGTTGAATTATTCAGGGGTTAGGTCGATTAAGTGAGGCAAGGTAACAGAAATTTAGGCGATATACTTAGAGAGTATGGTGACTGCAAGACAGAAATTAACGCGACATAGTTAGAGAGCACTGTGACTGCAAGACTTTGTGATGAAGCTTTATGCAAGCTGAATCCTTTTTCTGATTCTGAGGCCTTCGGCTGAAGTCTTGACAGAGCAGCTTTGTGAGGCGAGGCTAGGGAAACGTGCACAATTGTCGCACGGCCTTTTGTTCGCCAGGCAATCCATGGCGGCGCCAACGCTGAAGCCGAAGACCTCTTCAGCCAGACGTGTGAGCATCAGCTTTGTATTGGGCCTCAGTCCCCTCAAGTCCGGCAGAGGTCGACTGGACAGCGAGCTCCGTCGACAGGAGGGGCGGAGTTTGGGCAGAGAGAGAAAGAAAGGATTCTGCTTCTGTGCTTCGAGGACTCCTTGCGTCTGCAGAACTACGTGGCGGAGCAGGAAGCGGCTGCTGTGGCCGTCCGATCCTGAGCAGAGAGCTTTACCCAACTGCATGTATCGCGACGCGACGTGCAGACATTATCGGAGAGTTCACCAGGGCCGGCCTCGCCATGGCTTCCTGCCAAGGCATTACCTGATGACTCTGACAGCTCCGACGAAGGCGCATGCAGAAAACCATCCTGAAAGCTGCCCCGCACGCCAGAAGGCGTTGCAAGTCCGCAGTGCACAAAACAAGGCAAATGTTCGCAGCTGGAGGCTTTGCTATACCCCTACAAAACACAAAGCTCCACCCCACGCCCTGCACCGCAAGAGTGCTCCGGCGCTCTTGCCAGGCTGCCATGGTACGAAGAACAGTGTGATGGCCCGCAGGGCTCTGTGATTTCGCGCGTAATGTCTTGTTCAACTACGATGTGACTATGTGGGCTTGCTCTGTCTCTCCCTAGAGCCAAAAGAACCACCCGGTTCCAAGACCTTGCCCGAGTCCCACAATGAAGCCTTGGGCGGTTTCTTCCTTCCGCCGCTGCTCACTCAAGAGCTCGACTAAGTCGCGGCTCCAAAATAGCGACTCGGAGGAGAGAAGTGGCTTCTTTTTCCAGCCAAGGCATCCCAGCCGCTAGCTAAGCCCCTAACACCCCCAATTTAGAGACTCTTTTTGCCAGCTCCCGAGTCTTTAGAGTGTTGGAGCCACGTGGCCATGGCTCATCGGAACCTTGCTGCGCTGCTTTTTCACTGCCTCTTTCTGGGAAAGGGAGCCGATGGCCTGGTGCTGGGAGTCCTCGGCCCTTGGGTGGAGTTGGGTGATCTGCTCTTGGCTGCGATGTGTGCAGATTTGGACTTCCGCAAGAACTTCGACTCCACGTTGCAGCAGAGGCTAGGACATCCAATCGTTGCTATTCCAGAGATCCACCCCCAAATGGCCAACGTCTCCTTCCGCTTTGGTGCTACAATGGGAAAAGCAGATGTCGGACTCGCTACAGCTCTTGACATGGTCCTCGGCTTGGATGGGGAAGAGCCCATCGTCGGCTTGATCGGCCCTGCCATCTCATCAGTCGCGATGCCTATGGCAACAACGGCGGCCGTGCAGCAGATTCCACAAATTTCTTTCTCTGCAACTAGCCCCCTCCTTTCGAACAAATACGCATATCCCTACTTCCTGCGAACAGTGCCTCCAGACACAGTTCAAGCGATTGTGCTTTGGAACTGGATCCTCGAGTTCGATGTGCCGCTTGCAATTTGTTTATATACCGAAGAGGCCTATGGCCAATCGCTTTTCAAGGCTCTCGGAGCACAGGCCCAAAGTGCTTCGGGCAGTCTACGGCTGGTGGGCCAGGCTGTACGCTACATGCCGCCCGATTCCTTTCAAGAAGAGGAGGCTCGAAGATCTTTGGAGCAGACGAAGAGCCTAGGCTCGCACTTCCTAGTGCTCTTGATCGAGTTCAGCATGGTTCCACGGCTGCTGCCTGTGATGGCAGAGGAGGGACTTCTGGCTTCAGATTGGCAAGCAATCGGCTCAGACACTCTGGCCTGGCCTACTTCGCACGCCTTCCTGCCCCTGGGCTGTATGATGGTGGTCGCCCGGGGACGAGGCTCCAAGTTCTCCGACTTCAGCGATCTTTGGTCAAGACTGGAGTATTCAGACCTTCTGGGAAGCGACGCTCAAGCCAGGCAAAACCCGCTCGGCCCTAGAACAAATCCCCCTGCCTTAGCCGCTTTTTGGCATCGAATCCCTGTGAGGCACGGCCTTGGCAGGATGAGGACCTCTTTGGCGGACGTCTCCAATGCAACATTATCCGCCGCCCTGCAATCCTACCATGCCTTTGCTTTCGATGCTGCTTATTCCTTCATCATTGCCATCAACCAGATGCTCCTCAGAGGGGTTCCAGAACATGCTGTGAGGGGCCAAGCGCTTCTCGAGGAGCTGAGAGGCTTGAACTTCAGTGGTGTCTCAGGTGACGTGGGCTTTGATTCCAACGGGGATCGTCTAGCATCATACGAGCTCCTGAATATGCAGGGGGACGCGCTCGCGCCTGTGGCATCCTCTGTAGCCGTCTTCAGCACATCTGCGCTCGAGTTCTCTTTTCGGAGTCGAAGCGGGCTAGTATGGATGAATGGTCTTCCAGGTGCAAATCCGCCAGAAGACTTGCTAGCTTGCGATGCTGGTTTTTTCAAGGAGGAGCTCTCCCGTCAATGCCGACCCTGCCCCAGAGGTACGATGTGTCCGGGTGGAGTTGATGCCCAGTTTCGGGCCTGTCCGAAAGGAACTTTCACAAACGAGACCGGAATGACGGAATGCTTGTTGTGCTTGGAGGGCTTTGCTGCTCGTGAAGTTGGCTCGGTCGAGTGTACGGAGTGCCAGCCAGGCTACGAAGCCCCGATGCAGGGCATGGAGGCGTGCACGCGCTGCGAGCTGGGCTTTTTCATGCCTTCTGTACAGGGCACCCGATGCCTGGCCTGCAGAGAGAACCAGACCACACTCTACAGCGGGGCGGAGGCTGCATCGGAATGCCTTTGCCCAGAAGGCTTCTTCATGTGCCAGGGTGCTGGATGCATCCCGTGTCCTGACGGGCTCTACTGCCCCACTGGCTTGGGGACGCCCCGTCAAGTCGCTGGCTTCTGGACAGCGAGTCCAGGGCCTGGTCAGTGCGACTTCAGTGTCCTCCGCTGCCGAGATGACGCAGAATGCCCAGCGGGGCCGCTTGGCCTCTGTGCATCCGGCAGGGAAGGACTTGCATGCAATAACTGCAACGAGAACCACTTTCCTGGCGACGATGGGACCTGTCAAGCATGTGCAGATGTCGACGTGCTTCCTACGCTCTTGGTTCTACTGCTGGCCTTGAGTCTGTTGCTTCTTCTCATTTGCACGCACGTCGACCCGAATCAGCAAAGCCCCCCGGAGAAAAAAGATGAACGAGTTTTCTTCTACTCCGGATCTAGACAGGGGGAGTCGGCCGCCCTGCCTAGGTTTGCCCGAGTGTGAGTGCTGAAACCCCTTTCTTTTTGACTTTTTTTTGTCGAGACCCTGAGGTCTCAATGTTCTCACGGCAGCTGCGATTTTCAGTCAGATCATCATTTCCATTCAGGCTTTGGGATCCATCCGGAAGCTTGCCATCGCCTGGCAAGAACCAGCCAAGACCATCGTGGAGTTTACAAGACTCCTTACCTTCGATTTCGACATCATCAGAATCTCATGCTTCCTTGGTACTGACAGTCCTTCACTGAAGTTCTTGAGCAAAATCCTGGTATGCCCTTTCGGATGCGCACTGCTTCTGGCGACCTGGTTGGGAATGAAGTTATGCGGCCGGCACCGACCGCTGGATAGCATCTTACTCTGGACTAAAGCACCCATTTTTTGCCGAATACTGCAGGGTCTGTGATAGCAGCGGGAGAGGCTGCCAGGGTTCTATCTCCTCAATCTTAATCTTGTCGGAGCTGAGGCGTCGTGAACATGTGCGGGTTGCTTTTCTTCGCATTTTTCCTCTCCATCGCTTTGACAAGCTTGAGTCCTTTTCGATGCACGCGGAATCCAGACGGAAGCACTTCGATGGTTTCAGACCCAGGCATCATATGCTATGAGTCCGAAGAACATGCAGTGCTGGTGGCCTTGGCGGTGGCAGGCATTCTAACTCAGCCAGCGGTGATTTTAGCATGGACGTCCCACGCCACGTTCATGTACCCATCGCGCGTAGCCAGTGGGAACGGCTTACGGCAAGTGCACCGACATCGCTTCCTCTTCCATCGCTTCAAGCCTGAGAGCTTCTATTTTGGCTTGGTCTTATTGTACCGGAACGGAATTGTGGCAGTGCTCCCCGTGATTTCTGTTGGCATTGTGGAGCTGCAGGTACCGGCCATGGGGACCATCCTTCTCGCCAGCCTTGCACTGCAAGTGAGGACCTACCCTTGGCGGACGGTGCAAGCAAATGTGCGGACCCGATTCGTCCAACTCACTTTCATGTAGACCTACACAGCTGCATGAAGGATGGAACAAAAATCAAGAAGCTATTGTGTAGGCCGAATAAGTGGCCTCATTGACCTATGTATCAACTGAGCCGCATCGTCCCGGCGAGTCGCTTTGTGCCTCACGCCGTTCACACGTTACACGTAGTGTCGACACGCGGGAAGGTGTTCTTGAGACTGTTCTTGTCGGGCTTGCGCTCCGAGGCCTTAGCTGAACTGGGGTAGGAACTTGGGTTTCTGATTGTGCATCGCGCTAGCCCTCAGACCTGCAAGAAATCAGAAGGCTGCTTAAGAGCTTCTAAACTGCCCAAGGTCGTTGACATGCTGTTGACGGTGCTCTTGCTGGTGATCTTGCTGGGGGCTGCGCCTTTGTTGAGCATCGACTTCCAGAATTCCTCTCAGGTCCTGGGGTGGCTCCTTTGCATCCCAATTTTCGGTTTGCTTCTTGTTGGACTGGCCGGTCTGTCCAGGGTGGCGCTCCGCCACTTTTACCCAGCCGCTCAGTATGGGGTTTTCTTGTGTCACCACAAGGGCGGCGCGGGCAGCTTGTGCCGACTCATGAAGCTCATTATTGCCAGACACACTTCCACTCCTGTGTTTTTGGATTGCGACCAGTTAGAGAATTTAGATTTCCTCTTCGACATCATTCGGACCTCAACGAACAGTGTTGCGGCGGTGCTGACGCCCGAACTGCTGCGCAGGGCGCCTTGGCTGATGGCCACGGCTTCTTGGGACAGTGAGTTTACGTTCCAAGATGTTCTGTCGGCGACCACTTGCTACAACCGTCAGCTGAGGTTTGGTGTGGAGGAGAAATAACCACTGCGTGGAAAAACAAGATCACCACGGTCCCGCTCGTTTGTGATGGCTTCTTGCCGCTTTCAGATGAGGCGCAGAAGTTGATTCCAACTCTGTGGACACCTCAACAGAAGCAAATCCTTGCCAACTACGGCGTGGAGATTGAAGACGTGCACGCAGCATACGCCTGGTTACAGAACGATTTAACGCCCGTCCAGATGCCTCGATTTGGGCCAGTGCAGTGCTTAGCTTGGGTTCTGTGTTGTTGTCCGTTTAGCTGAGCCGTTCTCGCTATCGCATTTTTACACTGCTTGATTGAAACTGAAGAGCTCAAAGACTGGACGACCCAGCACCTGAGGTGGGCAGACGTGAGGAAGCGGTTCTCGAGATGCTGGGACGCTGCGGTTTGTACACTTTGCATATGCCATCGGCAAGGTTGCGGCGAATCACCTCCACGCCTGTCCTACATAGTACAGACGCTGCAAGGGCTCGAATTCTCATCACAAGCTCTGTGGCTGATGCCGAATGCCTCTCTGCATGCGAAGTCTTCCAGATCATGCTTCAGGAGAGAGGGTGCAGTGAACGCTACGGACCCGCATGCTGACAGCTGATGCTACTTGTAGTGCTGCTAACCCTGCACATGACGTGTAAGCGGGTTAAGTTGGAGCTGGCAACGGAAGCCTTTTCTGGACTGAGCTGAGTGAGTTGTGAGCAGGCCTATTTGCAAGTGGAGTGTGCAGTCGTCCACGGCTCCCGGCAGATGATTCATTGGAGCCTCGCCTCATCTAGCAAGATTTGGGGGAGAGAAGCCAAGCCTCATCTTTTCCAGCTGCGAAAGAGCGGCAGCTGAGAAGAGGGATGAAGTGAGCATTGAATCGGAAGACGTAACAAGTAAAAGTATGTAGCCGACATGGGATCGGACATGTAGCATTTCGAAGGCTTTCATAACCGGAGAAACCTCCTCATCGCTTGGAACAGAAGCTAGACCTGGACCTTCAGGAAGCCCTACGCATATTACCTGGTTGTGTTGCTCTTTCGCGGCATTTTCCGGGATGCCGGCTTCCAGCGGATCTTGACTGCAGCCTTCGCGGCTCCAGGGCGCCGCCTGGAGCTGGTCACGGTGCTGGCGGACTCGCACTTTGACTTCCCATCGCTCGAGGACTCCGTGGACTCTGGGGATTGGAATCCGGTTCGACGAAGCCTCACCGACGAGACCAGCAGCCCCTCGCAGCAGCTGGCTGAAGTTCCCTTGGCAGCACAAAAGCAGTAGGGATGAGCATTAGGAGCCCAGACTCTACCACTTCGTTGGATCTCGGCCAAGGCACAGCGCGAGCTGCTCACCGTCTTGGCTTTGCCGTTCTCGCCTTTGGCATCCGAGGGCCTTCAGCACAAGCAAGTCGCAGAGGTTGCTCACCGCATGCATAGGTACGAGGACATCCAAGTACCCCGCGCCGTCCCAGCCCTCTTCGGCCCCAACACAGCCCTACATAGCTTCTGGTGCCGTGCTGTGCTGTTTGTGGTTTTTTTTTTCAGGAGCCGGCCAAGGCGGCCAGTCTCGACGAGGCAGATGATGCGAGACTGGCTGCCGAGGTAGAGATGGGCGCGAAGAACTCCGACACGCTTGCCTGGGACGCGGGGGAGGGGGAACCTGCTTGGGCAGGGGACCCAGAAGAAGGTGTCACCGAGGTGCATGCGGACCTGTCGCTGAGAAGCGACTCATTGTCCATTTGATCCCGAGAAACGGGAAGGCCACAGTCATAGTCATAGTTTGCCATCGCTGAGCAATGGACATTCCGCCACAGGTGGCTGGGCCTCCAGAAGGAGCACTCGTGATGATAATGTAGCATTGTAGCATGCCAGGCTTCCGTTGCTCAGCCTGCACTTGGCCCCAGGGGCACTTGACGAAGTCAAGGCGTCACGGCACGTCTGAGCTGGCACCTGGCCAGAGTTCAAAGCGAGGGCAGCGACAAAACATCAGCTGCCGGCACGTGCCCGCAGGGGCGAGCGAGACACGAGCGAGACTGGAGCCTTGAGAGTCCCGTGCCGAATTCCACAGCACAGGGGAAGATCACGTCGCTTCAATGATTCAATGCAGCCTCCATAACAGCCGTAAGAGCACAGAATCGCCCAAGATCATCGCGAGGACAGCGATTTAGGGGACGTAGCAGTGCCGCTGATGCTGATGCCTCCTTGCAGGCGGGTCGCTGCGCTCTCTTTCGGCAGAATGCTGGTACTGGTAGAAGCAGCTAACCCAGCCCAAAGTACCCAGATACTCCGCTGTCTTTTAGCGTCATAGAGCAGATGCTGCATGGCCTTCATGTGCCATTTTTCTCCATGCTCGTGTCTTTGGAGGTGATGTTTCGAGTGTGCGCGCTTGCTCTTTGTGCTCTGCGACTCTGCAGATCTGAGTTGTCCTTGGGAGCTTTGGGCGCCTGGACGGCCTACGAGCCTGACCTACTCGTGGCAATCGTCGCCGCCCATTTGGATTTCCAAAAGAATTGGAATGCCTCCGTCGCATCTCGCTTTGGCCCGCCGATTCTTGAAGTCCCCTTTCCCGGAGTGCATCCCGACGCAAGGAAGATACGGCTTCGCATCGGGACAACACACGCCAGGCAAGACATAGGTGTGGCCACAGCCTTGGACATGATGTTGGGCCTGGACGGTGAGCAAGCTGTTAGCGGTCTCATCGGAGCGAGCTTGTCTTCAGTCAGCATGCCAATTGCCACCATGGCTGCCGTTCAGCAAGTACCTCAGGTGTCCTTCTCAGCGACGAGCTTTGCTTTGTCCAACAAGGACGCTTACCCCTACTTCTTGCGAACAGCCCCACCTGACAACATCCAGGCTCTGGCCATCTGGAGATGGATTTTGCAGTTCCAGGTGGTGCTGGCGACTTGCCTCTACACGACGGAGAGTTACGGCCAAGGCTTGTACAACTTCCTGACAGAGCTGGCGCAGGCCGACGACCAACAAGACCGAGTGCAGGGCCAAGGCCTCAAAGATCTCTTTGAAGAGCAGGAGGCCCGGAGGGTGCTACGAATCGCTCGGCGCATGGGCTCCCGCTTTATCATCCTGATGCTCACCCAGTCCATGGCCACAGGACTCATTCCCATTCTCGGTGAAGAAGGTATGTTGACTGCGAACTGGCAGATCCTCGGCGCAGACTCGATGGCATCCTCCAGGATCACTCGACTTCTGCCTGTTGGCTTTATGTTTTTCCTGTCGGATGGACGCGGCGAACGATTTCCTGACTTTAAGCGGCTCTGGGACATGCTTGAACCGGAGGATATTTTGGGTGCAGAGAGCCAAGCGACATACCGGTTCCTCGGCCAATATGGCCCTCCTTTATAATTCGCAAAACTACGTGGCTTTCATGGCATGGCATGGCTGTAGCTCACGGGATAACGTGTGTGGCTGCGTAGAACTGGATGACCTAGCTTCCGCCTGCGTCTAAGCTTTTCAAGCCAAGGCTGGACAAAATGAGAGAGCCATTGGCAAATGGATCTGTCGAGAGAGTGCTCTCGGATCTGTCAGACCTTTCAGCTTATGCAGCCTTTTCCTTCGATGCAGTCTACGCCTTCATCATCGCCATCAACCAGCTCCTGCATGCTGGAGTAGCAGCTGATGCCATTCGGGGCCAAGTACTCTTGGAGGAAATGCGCAGGACGAGCTTCACAGGAGTCTCCGGTGAGGCCCGGTCCATAGAGCCGAGGGGAAGGCAGCAAAGGGACAGAGCCTTGTCTTGTCAGCTTTGACTCAGGTGAGCTTCGACGAGAATGGCGACCGCTTGTCCGCATACCAGCTCTGGAACATGAAAACGGGCACAACTCCTCAAGGGCAACCTGCCGTTGAGGCTGTCGTCGCAGCCTCCTTCAGCGCTTCGACCTTAAACTTTACTTTCATTGACGGGCTGGTGTGGATGGATGGATCCCAAGCGTCTCAACCCCCGCCGGAGCTCTATTCCTGTGACCCTGGTTTCTACAAGGACCTGTCCTCGAAATGCATGGAATGTCCAAGGGGTCAAAGCTGCTTTGGGGGGCCTCAGGCTCCCTCTTTGCCATGTCCAAGGGGAACTTTCGCAAACAGCACAGGAAACACGGCCTGCCTTCCCTGGGCTTTTACATGCCCTCCGTACTGGGCACCCAATGCCTGCCCTGTGGACAGAACCAGATCACGCTCTACAGTGGTGCAGTTGAGGAGGATGAATGTGTCTGTCCCGAAGGTTCCTTCATGTGCCAGGATGGTCGCGGCTCACGCGGCTGCACACCCTGCGTTGAGGGACTCGACTGCCCAGTTGGCTCGGAAATCCCTCAGCAACGGGGTGGCTTCTGGACGGAGTTTTCTGGCGCTGGGCAGTGTGACTTCGTGGTGCTCCGCTGCCGATGCCGAGATCAGAAAGAGTGCCCACCGGGGCCACTCGGCGTCTGCGCGCCCGGCAGGGAGGGACTGGCCTGCAACAACTGCAAGGAAAAGTATTTCCCAGCAGAAGGCGGATGTGAGCCTTGCGGCGAGGTAGACATCCTTCCCGCCCTCCTCTTCCTGGTGGTGGTGCTTGTTGCACTTTTCCTTCTCAGCATCTCCAGCTTGGAGCCAAACCAAGTGAGCAGCCAGGAAGCATTTGCCGCCATTGCCTTTAATGCATATTCTGGGCGGAGAGTTGGCAGCGTGCCTCCCGTGACATTGTTTGTTGCGGTTCTTGGATGTTCCTGGCACATCCGGCATGTCTTGCTTTTGCGGGCATCCTGCCCGGAATGCGCTCCCTTCTTCTCGCCAAGATACCCCCAACGTCAGCCCAAATGCCAAATGCACATGCCGCATGCGCCCGGCTAAGGCCTGAACACGCTGACAGCCTTTGCCGTCACGAGTTCTGGTCTCAGTCGACGAGTCGGAAGCACACGTAGGCATTGCATGGCATTGCGGCCTTTGCACGGAATCGGCATCTGAACTGCTTAAGGTCAGCTGGTGATGGCAGTTCAATCTTTGGGTTCCATCCGTGAGTTAGCATTGGAGTGGCAGGAGCCTGTGAAGACTCTTATTGACCTTTCGAAGGTCTTTGCCTTTGATTTGCACATCATACGCATCACGTGCTTCTATGGAACAGATACTCCTGCTCTGCATTTCATTAGTCAAATGCTCGCCTGTCCAGCTGCATGCGGTGCTTCTCGGCGACCCATTTTCGGCAATTTGTTTCTGAAAAAAGGATGTGTTTCCTCTGTGCTGGCGACAATCATTTACAGACATATAGTCAAGCCAATCTAGGTTCTGTTGTGCAGCTGGCTGGTGTCAAAGCTCTGTGGGCGTCCCAAGCCGATGGACACCATCCTGAACCACTGTGGCTTGCTCTTCTTTGCATTTTACCTGTCCATCACCCTGACTACAATTATGCCTTTTCAGTGCGTGCCAAATCCCGATGGCCGGCTTTCCATGTCAAACAACCCTGGAATTGTTTGCTACGAGTCCGACGAGCACTCTGTGCTTGTTGCATTGGCCGTGATTGGAAACTTGGACTGTGGCAGCAGTCCTTATATGGAATCAGTGGCCAGGACTAGGGCTAGGGTGACTAGGAATCGTTGCTTGTTGGCTGCATTGGCCAAGGATTTCTGTCGCAGCCTGCGGCTGTGTTGGCATGGGCAACTTTCGCCATCATGATGTACCCACGGCGTGTGGCTACGGGGAGAGGCCTTCGCATGGTGAACAAGCACCGATTCCTCTTCCACCGCTTCAAGCCAGCAAATTATTACTTTGGCCTCGTCCTTCTCTATCGCAACGGCCTGGTCGCCATTCTGCCTGTTGCTTGGACAAGCGGACAAGCATTCTGTTAGCCTCCTTTTTCTTTCAACCATCGACATCTCTGACTGGTGACTTGTAGCTAGTACTTTCGCCAAGGTTGTACTCGTCGGGCTTCCGTCGCTCCAGGTTCCGCTTATGGGTGCAGTCTTGCTTGCAAGCACAGCAATTCAGGCACACTTGTGTCCGTGGCGCACAGCAAGAGCGAATCTGGTTGACTTCCTTTTGACATCCTTTCTTCTTGTGACTCTATTGGGGGCCGCTCCGCTCTTGCAGACAAGCGAAAAAGATGCTCTTGCGGTGCTCAGCTGGATGCTTTGCATCCCTGTGCTTGGAATCTTGGTCGTGGCTTTGAGTGCACTTGCACGGACAGCCATGATGCACTTCCAGAAAAGGCTCCTGTTTGGCATTTTCCTTTGCCACCACAAAGGTGGCGCAGGAAGCTTGTGCCGACTGATGAAGATCTTAATTGCCCGGCACACTTCCACGCGTGTTTTTCTGGATTGCGACCAGTTGGAGAATTTGGATTTCCTCTTCGACATCATTCGGACCTCAACGAAAAGTGTCGTGGTCGTGTTGACACCGGAGTTGCTTCGCCGGGCTTCTTGGCTAGCCATGGCTCGGCTTTCCATTGTTGGCAAGCAGAGGCGGGCTCCTAAAGTCAGCCGAGGTTTGGTGTGGTGGCGAAATCACTACGGCATGGATGAACAAGATCACCACGGTGCCGCTCGTTTGTGATGGCTTCCGGCCGCTCTCAGATGAAGCACAGAAGCTGATCCCAACTCTGTGGACGCCTCAACAGAAGCAAATCCTTGCCAACTACGGCGTGGAGATCGATGCCGTGCATGCGGCCTATGATTGGTTGCAGCATGAGTTGATTCCTCTGGAGATGCCCCGCTTTGGTCCAGCTCTTCGAAAGCAGGTAACAAGGAGTTTCGAGTGTGAAACGTAGGGCCTCAGAGTTTCGCCTTAGATGACTTTTGGGGCTGAGGTCACCAGGCGCGAGAATGCAGTTGTCGACATGCTGCGATTGTGTGGCCTGGCACCTGTCCTCAGATCTTCGCAACTCAATATCTTGTCCTCGTCCTCTTCATCAGCCTTCCCTTCAATCCCTGCAAGAGCCCGGATTTTAGTTACAAGCTCCGTGACGGATGCAGAGTCCTTGTCTGCTTGCGAAGTTTTCACGCTGGTGCTGATGGCTCACCTGCATGTGGAATGCGCAGTGGTTCACAACGCACGGCAAATGTCAAGCTGGCAGCCTGGCTGCAACACATTCTGCCTTCCCTGATATTTCCAAATGCGGTCGCTTGTAAAGTCTTTAGGATTAGACATGGAGTCAACGGCCTGCACAGTCAGACAGCCTCAACGGATCGAAGGGAACGATGCCTACGTCATCCCAACTGGAATATAAACTCAAGGCCAGAGACGTGCTAGTCGAGTCTGAGCCTTGCTTCGCCGGGGGAAGTTACGGGCTCGCTTGAATAGCACTGGATACGAAAATCCCTCCCAGGGTAAGCTGCTTGCCAATGTGAAGGTCCGAGTGTAGAGCGGGTCAGGGTAGTCCATCCGTGGAAGTGCACAGCGTTTCCGCGCCAAGTCCCCAAGTCACACTTGAACCAGAGCCGGACAGCGAAAGAGCGAGATAAATAGTGGACTGCCGACACCTCAAGCCTTGAACAAAGAGGTAGCACCCGCCGTCTAAACCCACTTTAGTGGAAAGTAGCGAGCGATACAGCGAGAGAGAGAGAGAGAGAGAGAGTATACGAGACAGCCCCCGAAGAAAGCAAAGCCTCTTTTTGTACAGCCCACCCCCCCATCCCTGAAAATCATGGATGAGGCAGCGCGACAGCGCGCATCGATGCTAGACTGCTCGCGGCCCAAGCCCCCAGCAAAGCAAAACGAACAACAGAAGAAACGAGCTGAGTTCTTGCGCAGTCCATGCGCACCCCCGGCAAGGCAGAGAGCGACAGGGGTTTTTACCAAAAGGAAAAAGGGTGTGCTAGAGGTCGCGCTGTTGCCCTGCCATCAGCCCGCGCGCAGCTGTGTTTGCGGGGCACTTGTTGTCTACAAGGTGAGTCGGGTTCGCTCACGCGCGGCTCCCCCGAATCAAAGGCTTATGCGTGCGAGACACAGGCGCAGGCAACTCGAAGACAGCAAAGTCTCCCCACTGATGTTGAAGAAGTGAGCAGGTCAACAGGGAATCGGCTTGGAAGTAGGAAGGGTCAATTGCGACATGGATGCAAGAACGGTGGGCGCCGCCCTGCAAGAAGCAATGCCGGAAACTATTTGTTTGTTCCAGCTGTCAGCAGTCCAGGAAACCCTTTGCCTACTACTTGGTGGTATTGCTTTTTCGCGGGATTTTTCGCGACCAGACCTTTGCCAAGATCTTGCTGGGCGCTGATTCCCCTTCACTCCCAAGCGGTCGGAGCTTGGAGCTGGTCTCGGTGATTCTGGGTTCTCGTAAAGGGATTATTTTTTATTTTATAGTAGGCGCATAAAACAAGGACCTATAGTAAATAATAAAAAAACAATAACAATAATAGTGCGATTTCCTGATTCTGGTAATTTAAGCATCTGAAATCCTGAACAAGAACCCAGGATTGCTGACACCCACTTCGACTTTCCGAGCATTGAAAGCTTGGAGATGGCATTTGAGGAGGACCCCTTCTTCGGCGGCGATGGCGACCCAGCCACTCTTCCCAGGGACCTCTTCAGCGCTCCTTCCCCGCAGAGACTCTCCTCGGTGGTAGGTTTCCATTGTGTGCTTTCCGAGAAAGACAGCGCTCAGGTTTACCGCGACTTGCTGAACGTCCTGGCCTTGCCCTTCTCCCCGCTGGCTTCCGAAGGGCTTCAACAGCGGCAAGTTGCGGAGATTGCAGGGCACCTGCACCGCTACAAGGACAGGCTCGAGAAACCGCGGAAGCCAAAGATTGTCAAGACTAGACTCTGACCTAGACTAGGTGTGCCCGATTTCGTTGAGATGAGATTCTCTTCTGCCGGAGTTTGCTACGCCAGGATGCGGCGGCAGCAGCGGGCAAAGACGAAGCAGATGATGGCATGATCGAAAACGAAATGCAGGAGCTCAGTTCGCACAACGCCTCGATCGACATTCAGGATTTCCGGGGCTTTGTTCCCCAGGCCTCCAATCAGCGAGCCAGTGCTGTTTCTAGTCTTGCAACCTGTCTAGCACCTCGCCAGGCGTTTAGCCTCCTTAGCGACGACGGCTTCGACCTTCGCAGTGAGACATTCTCCATGTGATTGGACCCTGGCTGCGAGTGGTCGAAAACTTATGAGCCGTTTAAGAACGGCCAGATTTCCATGGTTCCCTGGCGACAGATGTTAATGTCATCAGCGCTTAAAACTTCTGAGAAGTCTTGCCTGGTAGTCACCGCCACGTCAGCCTCAGGGCTAAGCCCAAAACAGGCTTCGTCAAGCATGTGCCATAGCCAACCCGGCGTGCACAGCGATGCACAGCAGATGTTTCTGAAATTGCTGGCTGGAACGAACACTCGAAGAAGACAACAGCCGTGAAAGCACTGTTTTCCCTTCGAGCGCCTCTTACCACGGAGGAAACAGCGGCTGACAAAATGAGAGCGTAGATTCGTGTAGATCAAATCTGCACAGCTCGGGAGAGTTTGTTGGAGTAGTGGAGGCGTTCGGACGTTAGTTGCTGAAGATGTTGGTGCTTCTTGTGTTTGCGCACGCATGGCCCGTTTGCACTTGGATTAACAAGCCTCTTTAGAGGGTTGCTCAAGCGCAGGCTCATTTATTCGTGCCCAATGTACTTGCGGAACTAGTACGCCGTAGGCAGACTCGGGACCGTCCTGCATTCTGCTACGTTCCCATGTGCGACTCCGAAAGGCCACACAAAGCCAGGAAAAAGGAACACTCGCATGCAAGCGTCCAAGCTGGGATGCAAGAAACGGAACAAACGCAACGAACACACCCGTGTTGCAAGGCAAAAGCAAAAGCCCTCTTTAGCGGCCGCGAAGTGTCCTGCAGACATTGTGTGGGCGTAGGCAGGGTCGATAATTAGTCCATACTAAGGACCAGTAAGCAAACTGCGGTTCTGTGCTTCGCTTGTAACACAGGTCGCGCACAACATCTGTGAGGCTTGGCTCTAGAGTTCCCAGAGTTCCCAAGGCCCAAATCCACAGGATCGGTTCATGAAGGCCGCCTGGTGGGCTACGTGGGGCCTCCTCCTGGGCTGTCGGGTCCATGGGGAGTGCCACGACCTTGGTGACTTGTGCCAAGGCGCAAGCTTCAAGTCCCCGGCACATGAACGCACTTGGGCCCAAAGCCCAAAACTCCTAAACCCTATAATTGCTCCCTATATGTAATGACGAGGAGATGACGACGGCGCCTTCTTGCAGAAAGGGAAGCTCGTGCAAAGATTCCGGCCGGAAGGACCGCGGCTGATGCCCTCGAAGGCACCGGAGCCAAGTGCGCATGCGGCCTTTCTGCACTGGCGCCAGGGGGAGGTCACGAAGTTTTCCGCTTTGCAGCTCTACACTGCTCACGATGACATGTACCTCAAGTTGCTGTTCGGGCACATGCAGAAGGCAGACGAGCTGGGCAACAACGATGGCTTGCTGACGGAAGAGGAGTACCCGGGCCTGCAGGAGCTCGTAGCCGTCTTAAACCGCGATGTGCCCCCCAAGCGCCGATTCTGCGCGAAGTAGCCTCTCTTGCTCCGCCGGCGTTGCCGAAAGAAGCTCCAGAAGCTCTACTACTACAAGATGCCTCCCAAGGTCACCATCCCCCTCGCCTTGAACGCAACCGACCTCAAGCGTGCGTCCCTGAAGCCCTATATCGAGGCCGTGAAGTCCTCTGCTGAAGCTTCACAGTTGGACTGCCAGACTGCCTTGGAAGAGGGCATCCGCGCAACACAGGCTACCCAGAAGATGGCGATGGAAGAGCTCAAGCCAGCGTACGACAGCATCCGCGATGCGCACGTGGCCGGGTTGCACAGGTCTACAGCCAGGAGGTCCAAGGACATATTCTCTTAAAACCTCGCCTACGATTCCCTACTAGAAGACCACAGTATCCAGTTCTTGGGCACTTTAGACCCTTAAAGAAATGGTCAAAGTAGGGAAGTGAGGTGGCGGCAAAGAGCTTGGGCAATTCGTCCGGAGAGCCTCTTCTCGAAGACAACACCACGGCAGAACTCGAAGTGGCCAAGCTTGAGTTGTTCATGCTCCAGCTGGCGCGTGAGGAAGAATGGCTAGTGTCTTGCACCAGCAACTTACCGGTTTTTGCTGCAGATTTCGGGCTTAACCCACCGGAGTTGGTTTCAGCGGCTGGGGGGTACGAAGAGAATGGCACACAAGTGTCGCTCACGGGGTCGGGGATGGCCCGTACGCGGGGCAACTGGAGCAGTTTGCTGCAGCAGACGCCGGGTGCAGGCATCCCAGTTGAACTTGAATCCCGAGGGATAGCCTTTTTTCTTTTTTTGGTTTAGGTTCCTATAGATACCAACATGGAAAAAAGAACCGTCTTGTTTCTGAAGCTACCGGGGATCATAGTGAAAAAGGATGGACAGAACAGTCTGTGAAGGTAATCCTATTCCCTTTATTCCTCGAACCCTAGTAGATACCGGTTGTATACCGTACCGTACAAAAAGAAAAGGCTCATAGATGCATAGATGAGTCCCACGAAAAGAGGCTAGGAGCCATACCAGGGGGCCATAGGAAAGCCCTATAGGACAGTCAGACCAAGAAATCCGAGGTCCTGTCTGCGTGTACAACACTGCCGAGACATGTACTCGGGGGATCGGACAAGTTCCTTTGCTGGGCTCGCACAACTCGAACGCCTACAGCCTCCGATACGATTGTGCTGAACTCAAGGAGACCTGCACTGAGTGGAACAGCATCCTGCAACAAACGTGTACAACTTTTGGCGAACGGTCCCTTGGAAGCCATTAGTATTCAGCCTTACGCAAAGCTAGACACCGGCCACTGTTGGAAATCACAAGGTGCACTTCCTGGACAAGGAGCGTTCGGCGGGAGTGCATCGAGTGGGGTTATGAGTGTGCAGAATGGAGCGATCGCAACTGCGGGCCCCTCTCCTTCATTTGCGACGCTGTCTGCTTGGTCAGCCGACTTGTGTGCCAAAAATATGCTTTGATTGCGGAGCCTTGCCGGAAAGGGGGTGGGAGGGAAAAAAGGGGGCCGTGTCTAAGCTTGAAACTCTAAACCTGGGACCTTGCCCCCTGCCTTCGGAACACACAACCCCCTTTTTTGGGATCATAGTAACGAATTACTTCCCATATACTAATAATATATAAGAGCCCAAAAAGAGGGGGTTGGGTTTGCAAGGTACAGAATGTTGGTCGTCCTCAAAGTTTTAAAGCTGTCCCAGAGGAGTATACATGCCGCGCCACCACGAGTGTCTGTCGCGGGTTCGCGTCGTACATCACGTGGCAGGGATGCGCCAAGCCATTGGAGTTCGTTTGCACTTTGGGGACGTCGTTTTTGGCTAGAGGTGCCACCAAATGCCTCTTCGAAAACCAGAACCTAGGTCTTTCAGTGGAAACATGTTTTTCCATTTGTTGTGTTGGGTTCCTATATAAACCCAAGTAAAGGCACAGGGTGGTCTTATTTCCTAGGCTACTGGGTTTCAAAGGCAATCGGGCATTACGTACCAGCTCGATCGCGGAGTCAGAGTCTTCGACTTCGACACTTGCCTTCGAAACAACATGCTGCTGAACTGCCATGGCACCCAGGACTTCCTGAAGGCCATTGGTGGTTCAACAGAAGGAGATCTTGTGAGAATTTGGCAGTGGCTGAACAGGAACCTTAGCCGCCTTAGCCGCTCTTGGAAATGATGAATTTTTTTGCTTAGAGTTAAGTTTCTAGAGCCATCAGAAACGGCCAGAAACAGAATTTTTGGAGCCCTAAGAAACAGCTAGAATATGAATGTTTACCATTTTCACTAGGGTCCTTGATCACACTTAATCCCTGATCCTTCAACCCTAAACCCCAGAACAGACCAGGAACCCCAATGAGGTGGTCTTGTTTCGCTGGGGCGATACGGACTGGGCTTGAACCAAGGGGCCTTACTTGGAGGTTCAGGGTGCTTATAACCTAATTAGTTTAGGGTTCAGGGTTCAGGGTATATAACTTCATTACGACTGTACTTATAACCGTAACCCCATTGTGACCTAGGTTACTGTACTTAGGGAGCCTATAGCTGGCTTCGAAGTACCGTACAGTTATAGTCAGCTTATAAGTCCCTGGACCTGGCTGCCGAGGGCAGAGGGATACTTGAAGGCTCAGGGTTTCGTCACGAGGGTTTAGGGTCTAGAGTTTAGGGTTCAGGATTTAGGTACTTAGTAAGTATAGGTTATACTCCAGTTGTACATAGGACAGGCGAACTTCGGGGACTTCTAACTTGACTTATAGCCTACTTCCTAAATTGAGCCTTTGAGTAGTACACAATCCCCTCCCCCTAATATTAAACCCTCCCCCCCCCCCTAATATTAAATCCTCCCCCAACTATCTCGGGAATAGTTAATATTAGGAGGGGAGGGTGTTTTAAAAATGGCGGGAGGGATTTGACACCTTGGGACCTAAAATCCTCGGCCTTTTTCATGGAGTCATATAGGGATTTCGCGTTTCCTATATAGAATCATGTAGGGGCTAGTTGAAGAAAAGAGGCGTCCCAGAGAGCCCCATAACCCCTTAATTGAGGAAGATACCGCCTTAACTCATATTAGGAATCTTTATACGGATTAAGATATATTCCTTAATTAAGGGGTATTGGGCCTCCTGGATTCTGCATCCCCGAAACCCTAAACCCTAAAACCTGGCAGGACAACGGGATCGAAGGTCGTGACTATCCTGCGGGTGCAGATGCCAAGCAAATTCACGACGACCTGAGACAGGAGTGAGTTTCCGAAAATGGGGAGTCCAAAGGGTTTAGGATTTAGGGTGTTCACCGGTCCGGGTG